TGTCTCCCCGCCCCCCCCCCCAAACTCCCTTAAATGTACCTGCCCCGAGCCCACCACCACTCCATTCCACTGGGAGTCAACTAATGTGCAAGCTCCTCATCAGATGGAACAGGAGCTTACACAGGGCTGATTACATTATCCTCCTCCTCACACGACAGCATTCAGGCCTTGACAATTGGCTGCTAGACAAAGCACTGCATCAAGGGAGAAAGTCACTTGATCCCATGCACCTGAAAATGCCAGTTTTTTGCAAGGTATAGTTGAAATACTGCATGTAAATATGTCTCACTCCTATTTCCAGCCAGCAGGTGGAGCCTAAGGCTTCTTCCACATGTTTCCTGTATCTCCTTTGTTGTAAGAAAGTTGTTGTTTACAGTGCTCAATAGCTCAATTTACACACAATAGGCTAAGTTAGAGAAGTGACAACTGACTTACTGGACAGCTCGGTCAAAAGTATAAGTGACATAGAACCTGCCTATATTTAGAAAGCTACTGATTTTCTCTCTCTTTATATAGCCCATAGTGCTCTGGGAATCCTTCATCAGCAATGGAAGCTTACATATTGCTTTAAGTAAAGGTTCCAGACAAAACGTTTTTTAGATTTGGATAGAGCACGGAAGGAGGTGATCTCTGTCATGTTTATGATGCTGTCTGTGTACCCAGTGGGGACAGATACAGCCACTTCCTGTCATATTAACAAAATCGAGACACAATGAGGACATAGGCAGCATAGTTTTTGCTGGAATTTCAGAATGACACGTTACCCTCCAAGATACATTATGTGGCCAAACATTTGTGGACATCTGACCATTACTGCTGTATGAGCCTGTTGGACACCAATCCAAAATCATGGGTATTAATATGGAGCTGCCACTCCCCTTGTTGGCACTGTAACTGCCTCCAATCTTTTGGTTGGACGTTTTATAAGATTTTGTAGCGTGTCTGTGGATATTTGTGCCCATTCAGGCAAAAGAGAATTTGTGAGGTCAGGTACTGATGTTGAATGAGAAGACCTGGCTTGCAATTCTAATTCATGCCAAAGGTGTTCAGTAGGGTTGAGGTCAGGACTCTGTGTAGGCCACTGCTTTTTGCAACCCAAGTCGCACCAGACTGGAACGCACGGCATTAAAGTACCGCATGTTCCGATGCAAGCGATCAAACTGTGGACGGGAGATATGTTTGGGGTGCCATTGAAATGCGATTTCTGCGATTTTGCGGGCACATGCAATTTGAAAGCTTGACATGATTGGCAGCACAATACATGTCCAGCACCAGATTGAACAGTAGGTGCAATTGCGTGGTAGTTTCCGATTAAAACAATGACACACACAACCACAGAGACACTCCAAAAAAATTCTGGGCGGCTGTGCTGTGATGGAGCTCCATCCATATGTGCATTGCTTGTACAGCTCCTTTGCACTTCTAGAGGTGTCAGGAGCCAGAACGTGACATCACTCTGGACACACGAGGGAGCTGTAAGCAATACGCGTATGGATGGAGTTCTGTCGCGGCCATACCACCAGCCCACCCCACCTCAAGCTGACACTCGGCACCAGGCAGCATATTCTGAATGGCAGCTCAGCCTGAGAACTGACAGTGCTGGGCTGGGGGAGACTGAGGAGCATCTCACCTAGTGCAGTGGAAGGCATGCGGTGACCCACTGAGCATGGGGTCGCGACCCACTTTTGGGTCATGACCCACCAGTTGAGAACCAAAGGTGCAGGCCACTGGAGATCCTCCACACCAAACTCATCAACTCACGTCTTTATGGAGCTGGCTTTGCACACAGGGGCACAGTCATGCTGAAACAGAAAAGGACCTTCCCCAAACTGTTACCACAAAGTTAGAAGTGCACAATTGTCTAAAATGTCTTTGTATGATCAGGTATTAAGGGTACCTTATAGATATAAGTGATTCTGCGCTGGACCTAGAAAAGTGTATAAGTGCTAGTGTGCCAATTAAGTTTGAAGGCTGCAGCAAAATCGACCGTGGGGTCAAAACAAATAACTTACAAATTATGCAGCGCCCGCAACATATAATGTGTTGAATATCATAAACCCTAAAATTAATTAAATATAAATATAAGATAATTTTAATAAATAAATATAATAAATATAAGTGATTCAAATAAATAAATTATATTCATATAACATACACATGAATATTCCGTGCCTTCAAGATCTTTTTTTATAAGAAAAAACCATCAATGGCCCTGGATCATTGATCCCACAGGGTATGTGAAATAATTAGTGACAACTACCAAAAATTGTTAGTTGATGTGATGTGTCACGATCCAAAACAAAAAAACTGTTCAAAAAATATTCCAAAAAAGTTGAAAAGAAATTCGGTGAACTGTGTTGGGGATAAGGGTTAATACCACCTATATCCCCTCAAAAGGTGCACTCACCGTGAGTAGTGGCTGTGATAAGCAGCCGGAAAACGCTCAAACAGAAGCTCCCAGGGCTGAAGCATCCATCCACCGTCTCGTTGTGCTCGTGAGTAGTGGCTGTGACAAGCAGCCGGAAACCGCTCAGTTGTGCTCTTCAATGAAGGATATGTCTCCCCGTTTTATGGAAGAAAAAAGCCTTTCGTTATTATTATATTTATTTATTAAAATTATCTTATATTTATATTTACTTAGTTTTAGGGTTTATGATATTCAACACATTATATGTTGCGGGCGCTGCATAATTTGTAAGTTATTAAGGGTACCTTCACTGGAAACACCAGTACTCAATCATTTGGAGGGGTGTCCACGCCATTTTGGTAGATGCGATGGTCAGATGTCTACAAACCTTTGGCCATTTAGTGTAGGAACAATAAGGAACACAAAGACCATTTTCATCTGTAACATCAAAAGTCAAGCTGCAATGTCCTAATGGTCCTACCAGGTCAGATGACCAAACATCGCTCTTTAAAGGAGAACT